TCGTGTGTGTGTGTGCGTGTGTGTGTGCGTGAGTGTGTGAGTGTGTGTGTGTGTGTTTGTGTGTGTGTGTGCGTGTGTGTATGATCTTCTTCCGTCAGGCCCTCACTCTGTCTGCTCCACATTGGCAACGTGGATCTCTCATTACCTCTTCATACACACGACCGCATTTGCCATTCCCTCTCCCCTTTCTGATGCCTGCGTTGCGTGCACGTGCTGTTCAGGTTCCCGCCATCGTCGCCATAGACAAGTCATCTCTCGTTCGCGTCGAGGTAAGGTGTGCACGTGCGTGCATATGTGCGTGTGCATGTGTGTGCCTGCTTGTATGCACATGCGTAAACAGTAGCTCTCTCATCGCTCCAATCACATCACAACACGCTATCACACCACCACCACCACCACCACCACCACCACCACCACCACCAACACGCCAGTGCCATCCTGAGGGCCCGGCCTTTGATCACCGCGTGCCGAGCGAGGACGAGGACGAAGACGATGTACCACCCAATATGGAGCTGATGGGGATGACCTTCAAACTCATTGGTGCCCTTGCTATCCCGCGCAAGGTGCGATGGTGACTGTGGTGGTGGAAGGATGGAAGGGTTGAGGATGCGGGGGGGGGGGGAGATGAGCACGCTGTGATTGTATTCACTCGTTTGTTTTGCTACACTTTGTTGCTGTGGTGTGTGTGTGTGATTGTGTGTGTGTTTGTGTGTGTGTGTGTGTGTGTGTGTGTGTGTGTGTGTGTGTGTGTGTGTGTGTCTAACAGCTTCACGTGCTCGTGTGTCCACCTCTTTTCCTTTCAACGCACAACCCTTCAACTCTCACGCAAGCCTTCAACTCTCACGCAACGCTTTCATCCACCACCATCTCTCATCATCAGGAGTTTGAGGGTGTGATCACAGCTCACGGCGGTGCTGTTGTGTCTTCGCTGCGAAAGTGCACACACGTCATCGTTGGCCAGCGCGAGCTGAACAAACCACAGGACAAGCACCCCCAAGCACTGAAGGAGGTGTGTACTGTGTGTGTGTGTATGTGTGCGTGTGCGTGTGTTTCGGTGTGTGAGTGTGTGTGTGAGTGTAAGATCACACTTGCATTCTCGCATCACAAGTGCATCACAATTTGCACACACTCACACAAACACACACATGCATCCCCTTGCAGGCGCTTTCCTCTGGTGTGGCGGTTATGCGAGAGGAATTCATCACGCAGCTGTGCACACGCACACACGGAGCAAAGAACGAAGATCATAGCAACGACGACGACGACGACGACGACGACGACGACGATGATGATTATCATGATGACGATGATGGTGCAGCGGGGGAAGAACAGCAGCAGCAGCAGCAACGCTACCAGCAACACATGCAGCAGCATCACCAACATGACACAGAAGCAGCAGCCGCAGCTGCAAACGACCCGCACCAACAGCAACAACAACAGCATCACGACCACCAAGATGACGAGCAAGACCATGCGAAGAAAAAGACAAAGAAGGTGGTGTCCACTCACAGCACGGCCCAGCACAGCACCGCTGCCACCATCACTGCAGCAACAACGAGCGGTGATGGTGGTGATGACAATGACGATGATGGTGATGCCGCAGTCGTAGTGTTGACGGGGGCGAGGATGACAAGGAGCAAGGCGGCGCAGCTCCAAAGGCAGCAGCAGCAACAGCAAAACCAAAAGCAAGAAGAGGACAAGACAGAACGGGGACAAGCGCAGCAAGGGAAGGAAGGGGAGACCGGCACGATGATGGGTGATGATGGGAAGGCAGAGGAAATGGGGAGTGGGATGGACGGAGACGCAGAAAAGCAGCCGCAAGTGGACACAGCAGATGTGAGAAAGGACACAATGAAGAAGAAGAAGAAAAGGAAGAGGAGGAGGAGGAGGAGGAGGAGGAAGAGAGCACGGAACAAGAAGAAGCAAGAAGGGGAAGAACAAGGCGAGAAGGGGGTCAATGACGCATTGGCAAACGGGGGCGTGAAACCTGTCGTCAAGCAGGAGCCAGCAGCAACCGCAGCAGCAACACCAACAACAACAGCGGCAGCAGCAACAGCAGCAGGTGTTGGCAGTGGTGGCAGGTCGCATGTCAAGAAGGAGAAAGGCGTGAAAGGGAAACGTGCTGTGAAAGTTGATGCGTCAGCACGTAAAACGGCTGCTGCTGCACTGGAGAAACTGCGGCAACAGCAGCAGAAGCAGCGAGAGCGAGAACAGAAGAAGAGGAAGAAGGCGGAAAAGGACAAGAAGGAACAAGAGGGGAAGGACAAGGAACAGGAAGAGGAAGAGAAAGAAGGCAAGGAACAAGACGAGAATGGGGAGCAGGCAAAGGAGGAGGAGGAGAAGGCAGCCGTTCAGCCACAACGCAGCACACATCAACAGCAAGATGGACAAGAGCAAGGCGACAAGCCCTCAGATGGTGTCGGTGACGGTGGTTGCGATGAAAGTGCAGTCTGTGGACTGTTGCTTCGGCAGCGGAAATATCAGCAGCGCTACAGAATTGCTGGCAAGCCGGGAAGCAAGCTGCCACCAATCAAGGTGTGTGTATGTGTGAGTGTGTGTAACATTGATATGTGCTTGCAAGAATGAAGGCAACAAGGGCGCGTGTGTGTGAGAATGTGAACGCATTTACGTCTACTCTCAACAACAACAAACCCGCGTGGTGCGTCACACACGCGCACACACACGCGCACACACACACACTCGTAAACACACCCTCATTCACACGAACACACCCGCATTGATGCATACGCGTGTTTCCAGGCGCTGCTTGAGCGTGAGGCACGCGCGAAGCGAAAGGCGGAGGAAGAGAGTGATGACAGGCAAGCAAAGCGTGCAAAGCGGGTACGAACGAACAGAACAAGGGTGCATGCTCGACACATGTCATCGCTTTTGCCCAAGCCTCAACCTGTCCATGGTATTATGGTTACATGACTCCCATCTGTGTTTTGTGTCACAACACAGCACAAGCACGCCCAATTATCCATGTCACCGATTGCCTGCTCTCTCTTGCTGCTTCTTCTTCCGGTCACCCTGCCAACCCACCCCACAACATGCCGCACACACGCACGCATGCACACACGCATGCACACATGCACACACGCATGCACACATGCATGCACACACGCATGCACGCACACACACGCATGCACACACACATGCACACACAATCGTGTCTTTGTTCACGATGACACTCTGCAACAGCCGCCCATCGCTGCTGGTTCGCAGCTGCTGCGTGTGGACAAGTTTGCACCGGGCAGAGTCGTGTATGTTGACGACAGAAACCTCGCATACAACGTCATGCTAAACAAGTCAGACGTGTCAACGGGGCTCAACGTCTTCTACAGTGCGTTAACTGTTGCTGCTCATGGTGCTGCTGCTGCTGCTGGTGGTGGTGGTGGTGGTGGTGGTGGTGGTGGTGCTTATATTGTGGCGTGTTTGTATTCGTTCGTTGTTGTTGTGAGCGTGCCTGTTGTCGCTTCTTGTTTCGCTGTGTGGATCACAACCACACTGCATACGCATGACACACCCAGTGCCTTGTCCTTCCACCACTCACTGTATTATTTCACAACCTTCGCTTCTGTGCTGTGCGTGTGTGCGCGCACTACACGTTGTATGCGTGTGTGCATGTTGTGTGTGCTGAACGCTGTGTGTATGTATGTATGTATGTATGTATGTATGTATGTATGTATGTATGTATGTATGTATGTATGTATGTATGTATGTATGTATGTATGTATGTATGTATGTATGTATGTGTGCGCAGTTCTACAGCTGACGTCAGACGGCATGAACTACTTTGTGTTCTGCCGCTGGGGCCGCGTTGGCGACGATTCTGGCGTGATGCGAATTCGAAAGAGCAGCATGTACCACAGCAAGCGATACGGTGCGTTCGATCGCAGTCATGGAGTGTTGTGGTTGTTGGTGAGGTGAGGTGCTGTGTGGTGATGCTGTATTGTATGACTTGGTGTGCCAGTTGGTGAGGTGTGAGTTATCGTTGAGGTTGCAATGGGCCGTGTTGGCGTCAGTTGTGGTGTCATGCTCTGTGTGTGTGTGTGTGCGTGTGTGTGTGTGTGTGTGTGTGTGTGTGTGTGTGTGTGTGTGTGTGTGTGTGTGTGTGTGCCGTTGCGCTGTGAAATTGCGACTTTGCATATGATTTGCATTGCACCGTTTGCACGCAATCTCACATCACGTCAAACCACCACACATCACACCTCCATTTTCCTGTGGATGCGTGCATGTGTGTTATAGATTTCCTGTCGTACTCTCACCAGTGCTACGCAAGCATCGACGCTGCCATTACAGTGAGTTGAATCTGTGTGACTGGTGGTGCTTGCATGCTATGGGTGTGGACGTGCAAGCGTGTGCGCATAATGTGAATATCCTTTGGCATACCATTTCGCGACTCATTCATCAACAACCACGCCACCACAACCACCACAACCACCACCACCACCACCACGACCAACACGACCACTCACCACACCACTCGCCACCCTGTTTCAAAGGCCTTTGCCGCGAAATTCAAAAAGCAGACGGGGTGGTCGTGGGCGAAAGTGGATTCGTTTGAGCAGCAGCCCGGGCACTACAACATGGTTGAGCTGGAAGGGCAGTCGCGTGGTGTTGATTTGGATGCAGCGAACAAGAAGCGCATTCACGCGGACAAACGCGCAGCCACTATCCCTTCAAAGGTGTTGCGTTGTGTATGTGGTGTGTGTGTGTTGTGTTGTGTTGTGTATGTGGTGTGTGTATGTGGTGTGTGTGTGTTGTGTTGTGTTGTGTATGTGGTGTGTGTGTGTGTGTGTGTGTGTGTGTGTCTGGGAGGTGGACGTTTGTTCATTTGTGCTACCTCGGTGTGCGTTGTGCCCTGTGTGACTCTGGTTCTCGCTGTGCCATGTTCGTGTTGCAATGCAAGAGCATCTTGTGTGGATGGTGATCACATTCACAATGTTGCACGTTGCTCACCATGACACCCCACCCACCATGCGCACCGCTATGCTATGCTATCATCGTGTGTTGTTTCTCCGTTTCCGTGGCTTTGCCAGCTGGCGCCCGAGCTGCGATCCTTTGTGAAACTCATCTTCAACAAGAAAATGTTTCGGAAATCGATGGAGGACGCAAACATCGACATCAAGAAAATGCCGCTCGGTTCCATTTCAGATCGCCAGATCAAGCAGGTGTGTGTGTGTGTGTGCGTGTGTGTGTGTGCGTGTGTGCGTGTGTGCGTGTGTGCGTGTGTGCGTGTGTGCGTGCGTGTGTGCGTGTGTGCGTGTGTGTGTGTGTGTGCGTGTGCGTGCGTGTGTGTGCGTGCGTGTGTGTGTGTGCGTGTGTGTGTGTGCATGTGTGTGTGCGTGTGTATGTGTGTGCGTGCGTCCGTGCGCGCGCGCGCGCGTGTGTGTGTGTGTGCGTGCGTGCGCGCGCGCGTGTGTGCAAATGTGCGTGCGCGTTGTACACATGTGTCTGCATACATGCGTGCGTGTTTGCGTGTGCCGTTGACACGCGCTGTTGTCGTACCACCGCTGGTACTGTTGCCAAGCTCACCATCAATCCGCCACTGTCGCCGCCCATCCCAATCGTCATCATCGCATCTCCGTGCAGGGTTACGCCATTCTGAAGGAAATTCACGACATCATCAGTGGGAAGCGGCCGGTGCTGAATTCACAGCACGAGTATGTGCTGTTGACTGATGCAACATCCCGCTTCTACACCGCAATCCCGCACGATTTCAAGGGATGGGAGGCCCCGCCCGTCATCAAGTTCGTCTATGCACGTGTGTGTGTATGTGTATATATGTGTGTGTATGTGTGTGTGAATGTGTGTGTGTGAATGTGTGTGTGTGAATGTGTGTGTGTGAATGTGTGTGTGTGTGTGTGTGAATGTGTGTGTGTGTGAATGTGTGTGTTCGTATATTTTCTGGTGCGTGTGTGCAACTGTCCGTACTCTTTCAACTACACCGGCTCATTCATCATCACACCACCACTCAAACCACCACCTGCCGCCCCACATTCCCCACGTCACCACCACACCGCCACTGATAGCTCGCGCTCGCGGCTGAAGGGCAAGTTGGATGTGCTGGAGCAGCTGTTGGAGATTGAGCACGCAAACAAACTGATGCAAGAAGGCGATGAGGACCACAGCGTGCACCCCGTTGACGCCAATTACGCAACACTCCAGTGCTCATTGGAGACTGTGCCCAACGCGTCGGACGAGATGGCAATGTTGCGCAAGTACGTGCAGAACACGCACGCGGCGACGCACAGCTGCTACAGCCTCGAGATTGCAAGCGCATTCCGCGTGTCGCGTCAGAGTGAAGAAGAGGCATTTGAGCGTTTTAAAACGTGTACAAACAGGCGACTGCTGTGGCACGGATCTCCGCTCACCAACTGGGTCAGCATCCTCTCCCAAGGTCAGGCAACGCTCAAGAACGGGGGAGTGGAGGGTTGTGTGCGTGTGAATGAGTGCGTGTACGAGTGTGCACGTAGGTGTATGTGTACGTGCGTGTGATGGTCTTGTTCGTGATGAACGTGAGCACTCACACACCTGCATCATCATCATCATCATCATCATCATCATCATCATCATCATCATCATCATCATCATCATCATCATCATCATCATCACAATTAGGTCTTCGCATCGCACCGCCAGAGGCGCCCGCGACGGGATATGTACGCTGGTCATGTTTGACATGTGGCAGCTGTGCATATGCGTGTGTGCGTGTGTGTGTGTGTGTGTGTGTGTGTGTGTGCGTGCGTGCGTGCGTGCGTGCTTGTGTGTGTGTGTGTGTGCGTATCTGTGACAGCGCCCTGTCTGCTCACAATGTGCTCACAATGAGCTCGCACTGCGCTCTCCTGTTGTTCCAATCCTTTACTCCACTCCGCTTGTCATCCCCCCCAGAGTAAGTCACACACACACACACACACACACACACACACACACACACACACACACACACACACACACACTTCAACGCGCACACGCGCTCAAGTCCACGCCACGTGCTGTTTCATTGCGTGGTGCGCGTGTGTTGCTTGCTTCTTTACCCGCTTTGCCCGCATTCCCTGTACCTCACCACAATCATACAATCACCACAACCAATATTTTTCAACGCTTGATCTTCAATCACCGCCCATTTCGTCAGTGTTTGGAAAAGGTGAGGTGCAAATGCCCTTCCTTGGAATGGTTTTATCTCAACCTTGCTGTGGCGCTTCTCTCAACCTGCACACAACTATACGTGCTCAATTACCCACTGTACTCATCGCATTACACATGCCTCCTCATACCCCTTCAACAACTACAACACACTAACAACACACGACACACACACACACACACGTGTAAACACACACACACACACACGTGCAAACACACACACACACACAAACACACGTGCAAACACACACACAAACACACACACACACACACAACAATCCTCAGGCGTGTACTTTGCGTCGATGGTGTCGAAGAGTGCCAACTACTGCATGGCGGCAAACGGGAAACACGGCATCCTCGTCCTCTGCGAAGTCGCTCTCGGCGATATGCACGAGAGGTGGGGTAGGGGTGTGAAGAGGTGTGATGGTGTGTGTGTGTGTGTGTGTGTGTGTGTGTGTGTGTGTGTGTGTGTGTGTGTGTGTGTGGATGTTATCGTGTAGTTTACACAACCGCTCTATCTTCCGCCTGTGCATCCAATGCCACATTCACATGTGTCCATGAACCAACATCCACTCACACACGCGCACGCACACACACACACACACACACACTCTCTCTCTCTCTCTCGCTCAAACACATGCACACACACACACACACCATGACAGCTTGCATGCTGACTACCATGCAATGCGGGAGTGCAAGAAAGCGGAGAAGGACAGCACATGGGGAATTGGCAGAACAACACCAAATCCCAATGAAACAGGTACAACAACAGCAGTGGCAGCGGTAGTGTGCACATGAGGCGCGCGTGATTGTACTGTTTCTCCATTTTGCATCCATTGTCAACCAAACTCACACACACACACATACACACACACACACACATGCACAAATACACAAAACACATGCACAAATACACAAAACACAACGCTTGTGCAGTGGTGCTGGATGACGGAGTGCAAGTGCCGCTGGGAAAACCGATTTCAAATCCCGCGGCAGATGGCGGCGCGCTGCTCTACGACGAGTTTGTGGTGCGGTGACAATTCATGACAATTGGTGCTGATAGTGGTGGTGGTAGTGATGATGATTGTGGTGGTGGTGGTGGTTTGCTGTGGCTGTGATGATGATGTGTGTTGGTACGCTGGATTGCTTGCTGATGTTACTGTTGAGTGCTTGCTTGCACCCTTGCCTGTCTGTCTGTCAATCAGCGGTAGTGCTGTTTGTGCAATGTCACATCACACTCATCACCTCACATCACATCACCGCTGACGCCCCCCTCGCCTCTGTCTCCCTTCTGTTTCACGTCAGGTGTACGATCGCTCGCGCATTAAGATGCGATACGTGCTGAAGGTGAAGTTTGGACCACCAAAGCCACGACCACCGCCGCCACCATCAGCACCATCGACAGCAGCGGCGTCATCATCTTCATCGTCATCAAACGCAGTGAGTGCAGCAAGTGCAGCCATGGGCTCCAACAAGGCACCGCCGCCACCGCCATCAGCAGTTGCAGCAGCATCGCTATCGAAGTCGTTGCCGGCACCCACAACAATCACAGGTCCAGCACCATTGTCGTCAGCAGCGGGGAAGGCCTTCTCCCCAACATCGTCATCATCGTCATCATGTTCTTCTTCTTCTGCACTGCCGCCGCCACCTCCTGCACTCACACCGCAACCAGCTACCACTCAGCCGGCCACAGCAACGACAGCAGCAACAGCAGCAACAGCAGTCACGATGTCGGTCCCAATGAGTGGGACACGAGCTGCAGTCATTGCATCCACCCCAAACGCGAATCCTGCACCAGCGAGCGATGCTGTTGGTACTACCAACGTTGCTGGTTATTCCTCGACACAGCCATCATCACATGTTGTGATGCAGTCACCACCACCACCACCACCACCACCATCAATGCCAATGCCACCGCCACCGCAGCCGTCATACACAGCACCCTCATCGTCATCATCGCTGCTCTACTCCTTGTCTGGTGCACCGCATTCAACCATGCAGCAGCAGCAGCAGCAGCAGCAGCAGCAGCAGCAGCAGCAGCAGCAGCAGCAGCAGCAGCAGCAGCAGCAACAGCAGCAACAGCAACAACGTTTCCTTGCTGGCTCCATTAATGCCACACCGCCAGCACAAGCGTGGCAGCGGCAGCAACAGCAGCTGCTGCAAAATGTTGCTTCTCGACCCGCACCTGATGCTGCCATCGTTGAGTCAAACAGCATTGCACCGCACCCGCCATACCCGTCACCCCCACACCACCAACACCGACAGCCGCAGCAGCAGCACCAGAGCGCTGTGGACAGGTTGATGTCTGTGATTCTTCGGCAGAAGTGAACACGTTTGTTGGTTGGCGTTTGCACATTCGTTTCGTTCCATTGCTGACATGCGCTTGAAAGTCTTAACTGCAGTACAATAGTGGCGTGACTTCCCCAGTCAGCAGGCAAAGGGCTCGAACCGAACGTGTACTTGTTTTCTTGTCTCCAAACAGCCAAGCACTCACAGCGCAGTTGTAGTAGTTGCAAGAAGCGGAGCACCTTTCCCTCTTTCGCCACGCTATGACATCTGTGTGTGTATGGCAAGGTGCCATTCATTCGTTCATTTATGCTGGAACACAACATCGAATCAGCTACACATGTGTACTTGTAATAAGGACAAAGATGCAACATCAACAACACCAACAACATCAACTACTGAAGCAACCCTCAACCCCCCCATACCCCCCTATCCCGACTTGTCCCACTCTGCCAAGATTAATGCAGGCGCCTGAGCACGTCGTATGCGCGGTCCCGAACGCCCGTGTTGATGCTGTCGGCAAAGTGCCGCACCGCCATTGCCGCCATGTGTCGAGCAGCGGCACCAACGTCATCGTGGAGCACAACGCCATGGATCTCCGAGCGACTGCGGTGCTGGCGCCGCTGCAGGTGGTGATCTTGTTGTTGTTGTTGCTGTTGTTGGTTTGGCTGCGGACCCTCTTGGTGTTCCGTTGTTAGTGCTTTTTGCTGTTGTTGCTGGTGCCGAACGCCTTGATGGCCAGCGTCGCCTTCGCGGTCGTTGTGCTTGTCAGCGGGGTGTCGGGCAAGGGGCAGCAGTCGTGTGACAGCGGAGAGTGCGTTGAGCCACAGCCGCTCGCAAGCGCCTGCACTGTAGTTGTGGTCAGGACGGCTTGGATCACCAATGGCCATCACAGCCTTCATCATCGCCAGGGCCGTGTCGCGTGCCCAGTCGCCGCCAATCAGTTGCCGGTGTCCGCCACGTTGACGATGCCGAGGGTGAGCTGTTCCCTTCTGGTGACGTTCACCATGTCCAACACCACGTCCAACACTACTACCGTCCTCATCAAAGTCACTGTCATATTCGCCACCTCTGGCACAGTCACTGCCGTCGTCGTCGTCGTCGTCGTTGTTGTTGTTGTTGTTGTTGTCGTCGTCGTTGGCATGCGCGCTTTGCAGCAATGCGTCGACGCACCTGCACACAGCGCTGAGCACAGTTACCTCTCCACCACGACTATGGCCATCGTGGCCTTTGTTGTTGTTGTTGTTGCTGCTGCTGCTGCTGATGCAAGCCAGCAGTGTCTCCTGCAGTACTTCCAGCACACCGTCTTCCACCGCATCATATGCGGTCAGGTGACCACCCTGGAGCAGTCGCGTGAGGATCCGGCAGCATGCACGCTGGATGCCACGCTGGCGCGGGTGCATCTGCATAGCGCTGATAACTGCAGAGACACCGCCGTGACGCAACACGCGCTTGCAGTGGTCGGCGTGCGCGTGCACGAGAACATCCAGTGTCTGGCAGGCGTGCTTCTGCAGCTTTGCGTCGCCCTGAAAGGTCCACATGGCGGTGAGGCACACCTCGGGGAACTCAAGCAACACGCGATGCAGAATGCCGCGGACACGCTGCACAGCGTCGTTGGGGGCCGGTGGAGGGACGTTGCTGTAGATGGCAGCGCGGTGGTGGTAGGCAGCCACGTGACGCAGAATGGAGCAGCACACACGCTGCAGGTCGTGGTGGCCCGGGTGCACCAGCATCAGGGCTGTGACGGTGTCAATGGAAGGGTAGTCCACGACGAGATGCGGCAGCACCGCAGCGCCGTGGCGGCGGATGCAGTTGTTGAGCTCATGCAACTCGCTCATGACGTCGTTGATGTTGGCCACGCTCTTCCTCAGCGCCTCCAACGTGTCGATCAGCTGCGCTGTGGGCTCTGCGTGTGCAACGACCTCGTTGATTCGGGTGTCGCTCGCACTGGACGTGATTCTGGGCAATGGGTGGCTGTCCTGGTGGCCCACCAGGCCACCCGAGATGTACCCGCTGCTGCGGCGGTGATGCGCAGCTGGCTGCACCCCTCGCAACGTGTAGCGGTTGAGAAATGTCGGATGACACACGTCGTCGCTGTCAAAGGCGTCATCATCATCGACGTCTGCATCGGGATCATCAGGGGAATCAGCACTTTTACAGTCATCCTCACTGGCCTCAACGGACACAAGCGCGTGGTCCACGTTCCCCGCGCGTTCCTCGTAGTGGTCATCCATGGCGCCTGTGTTGCTGTTGGGCTGGCGGTCCATATTAGCGTGGAGTTGGGCGAGCCCGCGGATGGTGTGCACGAGTTGCTCGGGCGGTGTGTGCACACCGCGGTCTGCTGTTGGCACCCACATCAGCGCAGAGGCTGCGGGTGCCATGAGACGGAACAGGCAGCGGGCGTACGGGTGACGCAACTCAGAGCACATGTGCACAAGCACGATGGACGTCTTCTTCGTGCCGTAGATGAACCTGAGCTCATCCAGGCTGCTGAAGCGGGCTCCGCTGTCTGCTGCACCATAGGTGGGTGTTGTGAGGATAACGACGAGGTCGGCACGCGAGATGGACAGCTTGGCAGCGTCTGCGAGAAGCTCATGGTTGCGGTTGGATGGACTGAGGGAGACGCAGAAGTCACTGCTGGGTCTACGTCGGCATCGCGGGTCTTGGTGCTGTTGGTGGTGCGTCGCAATGTCTTGCAACAGACGTTGCTGCAGCGCGTATGCGGCTTCCCCGCCCTCGTCGTCCTTGAACGACACATACACCAGCGGAGGTTCGGCCATGCTCATGCTGGGTGTGGTGCGATGGTCTGTCTTGCCTTGTCGTCAACGTGTGCTCGCCAGTGGCGTTGCAGGGAAGGAAGGCACGTGGGTTGCTTACTCACTTGAGAAAAATGAATCAAGGTAAGCAGGTGGCTAGTGTTGGAGTGGGGGAGGGCGGAGCTGGTCACGTCACACATCTTCGTGCACCACGCAACCATGTGCCGTGTTTGCACAGCTGCACTCCCACCACCATCTTCGATTGTCGTGAGCGGTGACATACTGATGAGCAGTAGGAGTAGGGTGTGTGCCATACACAGTGTGCGTGTCTCCTCGTGGGTGAACCACTTTCTTCGTTTCTGGTTTGCGTTTGTGCAAGCGGTGAGAATCCTTGCAAGGGTGTGACGTCATTTGTGTCCAGCACAAAGGAGTGAGTGCTTCGCAATTACGCAAACCAAGGCGACGAGAAGCAAGCCGCACGTTGATTGCAAGTTGCTTGCAATCCATCTCCCCCTTTGAAGAAGCGAAGATGGTCGAAGATGACATTATCGGGCGTTTCGTTCATGTTCTGCTCTTGCGGTCAACGCCACGAGATTGTTCTCGAAGGGTATTTTACTGACGCTGGGAAGACAGAGGAGGTGGAGAGGGGGGGGGATGCAACGTGCCGTGTGTTGATGAAATACCAACACAACAAAGGATAACACTGGGACACAGAGACCCAAGAAGGAAGCACCCACCCCAACGAGCGAACCCTGCAAAGACGCAGCACACCATGTGAGGATGTTACACTACTGGTTGTCTGCCCAGAGGGCCTTGAGGTGGTGTGGCTCCGGCTGCTGCGGGAACCAGCGCCCTTCAATGTCGATCAATGGCCACGTGGAAAAGTCGGTGTTGGTCGGCTGGTCGTTCACCTGACAGGTGTGTAAGTTGGGCCGGAGGGGGGGGGGGGAGTTTGTGAGTTTGGGGCAAAAGAGTGGGGACGGGGAATACATGGCGAGGTCGATGCACACAAGCACACACACTCGTACATACATACATACATACATACATACATACATACATACATACATACATACATACATACATACATACATACATACATACATACATACACACACAGTGACACACACACGTACATACATACATACATGCAGCGCAGCAGCTTTTCAACGTTCACAACCCCCTCCATCTGCCCACACACAACCAACAGACGTCCCTCCCCCACCTCTGTGATGACCCAGGCGCCGTGGCCCTGGGTGACGTCGTACGAGAAGGAGCGCACGCCCTTGCGCTGCGCCATGCACTTGACCCCGTGTGGTACCTCGATGCGGTCCTTGGACGAGAGCTCGCCGCCGTTGACCTTGATCAGCTCGTCCAAGAGCGATGAGCTGCAGTTGTTTCGGTCAAACACCGCCAGCAGGCCAATGCCTTGGAGCGGTGATGCACGTTGTTGTGCAGGCGATGAACGAGGGAGTGGGGGAGTGGGAAAGTGGTTGAGGGAAGCACGTGATGTGAAATACCCATAAAGACGACTGAAACAGAAGCAGCTGCACCATCAAGAGCAATGCCTAAACAGACACGCACGCACACACATACACGCACAAACACAGATTTAGACAAACGCACACACACGCACACACGCACACACACACACACACACACGCACACACACATACACACACACACACACGCACAAACACAGATTTAGACAAACGCACACACGCACACGCACACGCACACAAAAACGCAAACACACACACACACACAGATACAGACACACAAACTCACACACAGACACACAGACACGCAGGATCACGCCTCCCTTGCGTACTCTCCACCCCACCTTTGCCCTTGTGTGTGATGACGATGACATCAGATGGCCCGGCGTAAAGGGACCAGTTTGCCGATTCCTTGACAGGCCACATGCCAGCAGGCGGTTTCGGGGCGCCGTTGGTCACGGCAAAGTTGTAGAGCACACCCGTGTTGTTGAAGTGCTTCCAGCTCTTGCCTTTGGCCGAGAAGAGTAGGGGAGGGGGGTTGTGAATGTGGTGGTCGTGTGTGTGGGGGGGGGGGGAGATGCGGGTCTCAAATTGTGGTTGTGGTCAATGAGGAGGGCAAATCATGTACAGAAGCAAACACACGCACACATACACACACATGCATACACGTGCACACACACACACACACACATGCACACACACACACACATGCATACACGTGCACACACACACACACACACATGCACACACACGCGCGCGCGCGCACGCACACACATGCACGCACACACGCACACAACCAATCAGCCAACCAAGCAAGCAATCTCCCCCCCCCTCCACTCCAGACTCCGCTCCCCCCACCCCTGTTCTCATCACTGCCACTTGTCAGCGCGTCACCTTTGCCAGTGAGGTGGAAGGTGTCGTGGATGGAGGAGGCGCCATCGTGCTGCAGCATGAGCACCGTCGGGCCCGCCACCACCTCCGACTTGCCGTGACCAGCGCCGCCAGCAGCAAGCAGCCAGCCTGTCATGCAGGGCAGCACGGGGGAGAGGTTCGTGCGTTTCGAGTATGTGTGTATGTGTGTGTGCGTGTGTGTGTGAGGGAGAGAGAGAGAGAAAGAGAGAAAGAGAGAAAGAGAGAAAGAGAGAGAGAGAGTGTGTGTGTGTGTGATGAAAAACAAAGCATGATGAAGACAGGGGTGAGCAAGAACACATATAGATGGACGAACAAACAAACAAACACAGACAAAGAGACAGACAGACAAACGGACAGACGGGCAGACGGACAGACGGGCAGACGGACAGACAGACAGACACACACACACACACACACACACACACACACACACACACACACACACACACACACACAACGAACGACGACGACGACGACG